GATAGACTTTTAGATATACTTGAACAGAAACTTTTAATTTCCGCAGCGGTTTAGACTTCTTCTATTAAAATTAATGATCCAATTTTTTCGAAAGGTTTGATTTCAAAGTTTTCCCCTTTCTCGAAAAAGGTTTTTAAAATGCCAACCATGGATCGCACATGAGTAACACCCGGCATTGTTTCAATGTTAAAAATTGAACAACGATAAAGCAAAGCCATGTACAATGGATTAAAAAGCAATACGTACCATGCGAATGAAAAACCACGAAAAAAAAACGTGGGAAAAGTGGGCTGAATACTTGTATTTTTATATGAATTGTCTAAACAGTCCTGACTTCTAATAACACATATTGCTGCTGAAGATTTGTAGAAAAAGACTTCGACAAGATTCAGATCACACTTGCTTATTGAGCATTACAATTTATTAACTGGAGCCTACGAAACAAGGGAAAACTTTTTGAAACAAAGACTTTTTCCCACGGAACATAAAAACTTTTTGAGCTACAAACTTCAATAGAAGAAAAGTGAGCATAAAAAATCCCAGAAGTTTAAGGACACAGTCACGATTCAACTTCAAAAAAATCTATTATGAATTGACGAGAAGCTTCGCCATGCAACCTTTGCAAATTAAAAACATGTTTAACAAATGATAAAAATGATTGTCTAATTTGGATAGTCTGTTTTCTTTGAATGCAGTCAACCAGAAACAGTTGAGTTGATTCAGAAACATCCGTAGAAAAATTTGTGAAAAGAATAGAGCAAAACTAATCAGTTCGGATGCTTGGAGATCGGTTATCGATAAAAACTGAGATGGAGCAAAATACCAATGCAACTTTCGCATCGTTTGCAGCAAGCCTCTGGGTAACAGCATTAAAATCATCATTCAAGTGGTCGATAGATCGATCAATGGCTATCGAAGTTATATTAGCTGCAAACAAATACTTATTGACGATGCTCGGTAGACCATAATCTGAATAAGGTCCCTGTGTCAAACTTCACTCGAGCATAGACTCCTTTTGCAAGCTGAAAACTTTTTTCTCCGGTACTCCTCTAGGAAACATGAAATTCATTTGTTGATATTTACATACACCACTTCTACCTCTTTCCACATCATCCTCACTATCCAGTCAAATATTCAAGGGAATCATCAAAAAAATAGTTAAAACGGATTTCCGCATTTACCCTCGTCAACCCGAAAAACAGAATATTTGAAACTCTTACATACTTTCCACTAGTGGAACAATTTAAGCCTCATGTTTTGATACAAAAGCAAAGCTGCCCTTCGAAAAAAGTCCATAGAATAAATTAAATTTCCACCTATTTGAAGTACAACCTGGCAACTTTTCGATCAAATGAAACCGGATATTAGAAAACTGGATCCATATCCGTTTAGTCTACTGATAAATAATTCAACTAATAATTACTTTTGAAATTAGAGGTCAATCACGTTTTTTAGGCCATTTGCATTTTGTTATTGGATAGAGTAATTTGCCTTGCATTTATGTAACAATTGAAATTCAAGCGAATCTGCAACATTGAAAAAACAAACGGCGAAAATATGCCGGCAAAAATTTGAGTACAAAAAAATCACAATTTTTCCTTAAAAAGTAAAACATGCACAACTTAAACAAAGATTGCCGGTATCATGCAAGTATTATCACAAAATGTTCGTTGCGACCATATTCGTAAAAACTACCAAAAAAACTGTTAATCTTCAAATTAGTGTGATTATAAGGGAAAACTGTACAAACACGTAGAAAATTAGTGAATGGAGCATAAAAAACTACGGATAGCCAGTTACTGTGCAAAAGCACAGACTGTGATGACCAGTCGATAAGCAGATTAGACATATCCGACAGTCAGTAAAATAAGCAAATGGAAAAACAATTTTTATAGAAAAACTAGCGTGTAACGCACCTCCGGTGCATCGAATTTTTAACTAACTAAAAAACCGCAGATATTGGAAATAAGATCTGCATCCTTTGATGGTACTCTGACAGCACCCAACTACAGGAATGGCAAGTTTTTTTTTCTTATACTTTGAAAAACCATAAGATTCTGTGGAGTTCTTTGAAAAATTTTAAAATGACATCAAAAAACGCCATATCTCGGAAACTAAAAGTAAATACGCAGTCACAATGGAATGCAAAACACAGTACCCAACTACAGCGTTGCAAATTTCAAATTTTGAGAATTTTAAATTTTTTGAAAAAAAAACATTAAAAAGTCATATCTCAAAAAAAATCTGAGCAGTCAAATCTGGAGGCAAGATTCGCAAACCCTGAGAGAACTCTGACAGCCCCCAACAACAGGGTTAGGAATTTCAAATTTTTCAAAAAAAAATTGAATTAAACTTTTCTGTAACATTTTAGAAAAAAATCACAAAAAACGTCATATCTCAAAAATTACAAGAATTTGTGCCATCAAATTTGGAGGCCAAATTAGCAACTCGTGGAAGTGCAATGGAAGAGCCTCAAAATAGAGATGTGAATTTCAAATTTTGTAAAATGTTTTATAACTTAGTTCTTTGAACAAATTTTAAAAAAAGACATAACAAACGTCAGATCTCGGAAACTAAGGGCATTTGAGCCGTCGCATTTGGACGCAAGATTTGCAACTTGCGGCTCTTAAGAGCACTTTTGCAGTACGAAACTTCAAAGTTGAGGATTTCAAATTATTTGAATCTAAGTTTTCTCTTAAAAGAAATCATAAAACACGTCATATCTCGACTTATATCTTGACGTCATAAAAACTACAAGGATTTGAGCAGTCATAGTTGGAGGCAAGCTATGCAACCCTTGATACCCTGAGAGTACTCTGACAGACCTACTACAAAAATGGGCATTTTGAAATTCAAAAAAAATATAAATTTAAGTTTTCTTGAAGTTTTTTTTGAAAAAATTACAAAAATGTCATATCGCGAAAACTACAATGATTTGAGTGGTCAAATTTAGAAGCAAAAATTGCAACTCCTGGGAGTACCCGGATAAAGCCTCACTATAGAGATGGAAACTTCAAATTTTGTGAAATTTTTTTATAACTAAGTTCTTTGGAAAACTTTGAAAAAATCGTAAAAAACATCAGATCTCAAAAACTATAAGGATTTGAGCAGTCTTATTTGAGGCAAGATTCGCAAACCTTGAGGGTACCCTCAGAGTTTGCAACTACACGATCGAGATCTTGAAAATTTTTCAATATTTTTGAATCTTACTTTTTTGAAAAACTTTGAAAAAAATCATAAAAAACGTCATATCTGGAAAACTGTAAGGATTTGAGCAGTCATATTCATAGGCAAGATTTGCAACTTCTGAGTGTACCCTCAAAAGTTTCCAACTAAACGATCGAGATTTTCAAAATTTTTAAATCTAAGTTTTGAAATTTTAAAAAAGTATATATATATATATATATATATATATATATATATATATATATATAAACCGTCATATCTCAAAAACTACAAGAATTTGAGAGGCGAGATTTGGAGGCAAGATTCGCAATCCCTTAGAGTACCCTGACAGACAGTACCCAACTTCAGGGTTGAGAATAACAAGTTTTGTGAAATTTTTCAAATTCAAGTTTGCTTATTTCAAAATTGATGAAACAATCCTTGACATCAAACTGGAAAATCAAAAAAAAAACATCTTAACCATTGCAATGTACGATATAGCTTAAACGTGAAAAAATTCTTTCGATGAATATGCAAAAATATTAAGTTGAAAAAACTTAAACATGGCTTGATAGTGAAGCCCGCATTTAAGTATATAATAGATTACTATATAAAAACGAAAAAAAAAAACATAGCCAACTGACAGTTGGAAAAGAGTAATGGAGGCAAGGAAACTAAAAAAACTGACTTGTTTTTTCAAAAACCTTTAACTTTAAATTCGAAGAAAGAAATAGATGGCCTTAAAGCTCTTTGAAATTGTAGAACAATTTATGGTGGACACTTTTTTGTTCAAACTAACCTAAATTGAGAAAGCTGGATCAATAGGTAGAACTTTTATTTCGCTGGGAAACCTGATAATTAATTTCCATTTTCGAAATTAGAATTCGATCAAGTTTTTCGTGCCCTTTACACTCTTGCTGTTAGATAGTGGAGTTTGCCTTCCTTTTAAAAATAGAAATGTACTCAACTTAAAAAAAAAATCACAAGTCAAAACGCGAGAAAACAAAATGTAGCGTGAACAAATTTCAAAACTTTCTCCTGAAAAAAACTCACCACGACCTAAATAAGAGTACCCGCTACCTTCAATACTCTGAATCAAAAAAAAAATTCGAAGTCTGAATTTGTGGTTCCAAATAAGAGCGAAACTACCCAAAAAACAGACATTACTCGAGTAAAACTAAACTGTTACGTTTTAAATTAAGCTATTATAAGCTTGCTTCTAAGCCATTAAAATAAGCTAATGTAAGCCTGCTCGATCGCTTTATTCGCTCGAGTTTTGAGACGAAAAACCAAAAATTTCAAACCGGTTTTTCTCGACAGGCTTTTTCTTGGCCTTTTTCAATGTCGTTTGAATGACGACTTTAAGGGCTTCAATATGATAAATCACTCAACTCTCTCCGATGATTATTTGTGGTAGCTGATTTTGCGTGGAAATAAAAAAAACCAAAAACACTTGAATACAAATTTTCTGTCCTTTTTCAAATGGTCGGAACAAAAAACAAAAACACACCCGAATACAAAGTTGCTCCACTTTTTTCAAATGGTCGGAACAATAACAAGGAAATTCACTGCTGGTTTGAAGGCAAAGAAAAGCTTCGATCCCTCTGAAGTCGGACCTTTACCACGACACCTCGCATCTTGGCTAGGAAAATGTGCCCGGAAATGAAAATTACAATAATGTTCGATTTTAATTGAAAAAAGCGACCGCGTATTATTACACCAGCTTCACCAGTGTAAGCATTTGAGAAAAAATGCCACTTTCGAAAACAGATGATTAAAAGGATCTAATTTAATCTACCGGTAATAATCAAACCTCAAAATCTCTTTAAAAATCATCAGAATTACAAGAATAAATTTGTAAACAAATAAACATCGTTCCAGACTGTATGGTATAAATGGAAATAAACCAATCCAGTTAAATGATCAAGAAAACAAAGCGTGATGAGAATAAGATGTCACAACTGTCGATAGATCAGCCACAAACAGTTGAGGCTCACCGTCCACAACAGACGGGCATAGCCAATTGATTTTATTATGATGGGTCTTACACGTCGCTTGTTGGAAACATATCTTGTTCAATGCTGATGACGTAATTACAGGTGAATTAAGTTCAGTTGTTTCACTTTCAGCATCTTCCATTGGCTGTTCAAGGTCAAGTCCATCACCAGCACCTTGTTCAGATATGTCTTCCAAAGCATCTTCAAACTCTTCATTTCTTAATCAAAACAGTACTTAATCAAGAAATTTGTTATGTCAGACATTTTTATCCCATTTTTAATATTCAAAAAAGGGCAGTGGGAAAGCCAGTGAAAACTAAATGAGCCCAAAAAGCGCTGACTACTTAAATCATCCAAAATAAAGTTATTTGTGTTAAAACATGCATGATTTCCGTAACCGTTAAAAAATTATTTATTTCGGCTACACTCGCTCAAGTGAGAAGCTTCCCCATGCTCTGCAACCTTTTAGATAAAAAATGTTCGGATCATATTATGTCTCTATGCCGTAATTTGTAAAAGCATTTTGTTACATCATTTACATTTGTGCATCTATGGGGGAGGGGCGGGGCAGAAGAGCTCAACTTACATCTCAGCCCGCCACGAGATAATCCGTTTATCAGAGCCACCGCTGACTAGTAAATCGCCGCCATAAACACCCGCTTCTGTCCAGTTATTGGCAAAGGTCACTTGCGAGACTGCTGCAGTATGGCCAGTCAACAAACTTGACAGCCTCAATTTGGACTTAGAGCTGGCTGCAGTTGATGAGCCTGTCCAGTACAAGTATGATATATAGTTACAAACATAACCGCTCAGAATTAGAACAAAGTATCAGGAATCCAGGCTGTTTATTTTGCTGTAAAAAATAATTTAGTACCAATAGATATCCAACTTTTTAAGGAAATCCAGCTTTTGAAACTGGTTCATGATATCAGGGATCTTTTTATATTTGGTAATTATAAACTATCTGAGTTCATATTAGGTTGATACAATCACCAGTAAAATTTAGTCTAATGAAAGACGTAAGCTGAATTCGCAACTTGGCTTCTCGCAAACGAAAGACTTGTTCTTGGACTTGTTCGCTGGTTACTGCCGCATGGTCTCAATTAAGTGTCCTCTGTCAAAAAGACTCTATCCATTTCCCTACGTTGTTATGGAGACTAAGTACATGACACAGTTATAAGAAGCAGCAACCTCTAAGTGAACAAGTTCAATAATATAAAAAAACGGTTGCAGGGGCCTACTACAAGCAAGGTTATGGGGCAAAATTGCTTATTCTGTTGATTTTTCGAGCTTAATTGATGAAAGTATAATACAATCAACCATAGGAATATTCTGGAGGACTGTAAGTCCTGTCAAGGTCAGGTGTGGCTAATCTTTATTGTCAGATATAGTTGCTCTTGGAATAGTAATCCTGATGAATTTGAAATGAGTTTCTGTTTCTTTTCTATTTTTTGTAGTTTTTACTAAATTTTTGTTATTGTAAATGTCTTTGGACCATGTTCGGGTTACATAACAGTCATCTGAAACCCAAGTGGATTCATAGGCTGTTCTCTCAGAGCTATGAATTATGTAATCTTTTTTAAATGTGTATTTATAATTATTAAGAAATTAATCTTAATCAATAAATGTGTATTTATAATTCTTAGGAAATTAATCTTAATCAAATTAATCCAGCAAACTCTTTAACCTTTAAACCACTGAAGCTTAACAAAAAAGACTAGGTTATTTATTCATTATTTCGGCTCAGAGAGTTTCCATTATCAAAATGATACGAATAACATCCTTAGCAAAAAAAAATTCTATGAGGATCATACAAAAACTTTGCTTTAAAATGCGCAACTTAGGTTGGAAAAAAGTAAATGAACTGATAGTGACATAAGTGTATGCATTAGCTGTACAGATCTATTAGGTTTTAAAAATTGGTTAATTGCTAATCAAATCTTGAAAAGAATAAACAAATAATCAGCTGATTTGCTATCTAATATGGAGTTAGCAATTAAAGTTGCTGTAGTTACACTTCAATCAAAAAAAAAATTATAAGAAAATTCCAACATTCAGTCAGTTACTTCATGAACGTGGAGCTTGGATAAATTTCATATGGAACAAAAATTAAACAGTTTTCGAATTGCATATCTACCAACTACTCAGGTTTGATCTCAGATCAGTTAATAAATTAAATTCGGAGACTGATTTGAATGGGCTCTTAGTTTTTTTGAAAATCCAACGTCCGTTACCAGACGAGCTACTAAAAATTATTGAAGATACCACCCTATTGTATTAAACTGGACAAGTTACCCATCCGGTAGAGCGCTTCCAATTTCTTCAATAACCTGAATTCATGATTTGCAACTCTGTAATCCTTGAGAATTATCAGAAAACGATTTTTTCCAAGTTGTGCACAGTTTTCGGGATTATAATCTTCCAGATAAAAACTAACTAGTAATCTTCATTTATTCTTAGCTGATCATAGCCTGGCGGTAACATCCTAGACTGCGAACCCGGACGCATGGTTTCGATTCTCACAGGTTTCAATAAATTTGATTTGGTCGTTTCATGTAGGATGTAGACTTGTTGATCTAGCGGTAACAAGCGCAACTCATTTCCGGATAGACGAGTTTCGATCCTCGTGGTCGTCATTTTTTCTTTTCTCTCGCATGGCCAAAATTCTTAATAAAATATTTTCAAACTTTTTTAAATTAGTTTAAAATCATGACTCTGTAAAGTTTCAAGGGTAGACTTAGAGCATACCAGCTGATCTCGCTATCTAATCTTCCCAAGGGCTTGTTACCTAAATCTTATCGTGCTAATATAAGTCGGGTAAATTCAGCATTTTATTAGTGGAAAACCTCTAATAAAAACGTTTCAAAATTTATGATACAGTGTCTGTCACCTATAGCGCAATTTTAGCATTTCTTGGACCCATATATCATACTTGTCCCATCTGAAATTTTCAGGACATCGAACAAAAGCAAGGCTGAATTTTCGACGCCACAAGCCAACACATTTGCAGAAGAGTTGAGTGAAATTGAATGTGCCATAGGCGGAGTCAGAATATTACCAGAAAACAATTCGGCAGATGATCCTTCGGCTGCCGATTCGGAGCCGGCTAAAACATTTATCGGTGAGCTATGTGTTTATAGGAAAAATGAGTCTGTTTAACTATACCAGCCAAGCTAAATTATACATTAACCAATTTGCAGTATTAACTGAAACAATTCCTAGTTACTGAAAAAATTTTACTCCAAAATCCCCATCCATTTTAGGACATTCTTTTTTGGTCAAGCGACACGTCAAAATTTTTAAAAGCGCCGTTGGTGACAATGAACACTGACTATGAGTGGGAAGCCTGCGTCAAAAAAAATATGAGCTAATTTATTTTATTTATTAGATACATCTGCTTGACCTAAAACCCAATTTATTTTAATTTCATTCATATCGGTCACCCTGAGAGTCGTCATGGAAGCATGCGTTCAAGTACAAAGTAGACGAAGAGGAGCCGTCTACGAGGTTCCAACTTCTCAATTGAGCGTCCGTGCCCGCCGAGAACAGTTCGGGTGCGGAGGGGTGGAACTGGATGCTACTCACGCAGCTGTCATGGTCTGAGAACGTATGGATGACATTTTTGGTCGGTTTGCTATCATCAATCACAGTAACAGCACCTTAAACAAAACTTTCTGGTTTTTCATGTGAAACCTTGTGAGAAAATAAGCAAAAAAATTCTTGAAGCTCATTGAACAATCTTTCATCAATATTAAAAATTCTTAAACAAATTCGCAAAATGAAAACTCACCAAAAACAAATATCAAACCTCATGTTAAGAACTTTAACTTTTTAATCATAAATTAGTTTGCCTAGCGAGATCTTTACATGTAAAGACTTTTAAAACTCAAGTTCATGTTAATAAATTGAGTCATTTCGCTAACTTCAACTTTGATACGCAAAAAAGTGATTCAAACTGATTTATTTTAAAACGTCAGAAGAGTTAAAGTTCCAAAGCGTCAACGCTAAAAACGTCAAAAGAATCAACGAGAGAGACAAAAGGACAAAAATGCAAATGCCATGAGCCATGTTTCTGTTTCTGCCATGAGATATGTTATAAAAATGATTTCTCTCAAGATAAGATGCTTAAGAACTGACGGCATGTATTCTGTACTTAAATCAACATTCTGCAAGATAAATTTAGAAAACATTTTGTTGCATTGCAGAATGATTATGACTCAAAAACAAGGCTCAAAATGATTTTTCGGATACTGTTGATTCCCTCATTAATAACCCAGATATAAGCGAAGCCGAGAAACCTAAAATTGTATCGTGAACCAGGAAATATCCAAAATAAGACTTACTAAACAAAACGGCTTAAAGTGTCTACAACAGGAGTCAAGAGACCTCTGCTGAAGCTCAATGCAACCGCACAAAAAGATTGAATAAAAAATCTGACGATCCACCTAAAAACTGGTAGATCTACACGCAGACCTCGTCACAGGAAAATGATGAACTCCCACCAAACTTCAGCAAAGGCTATCATAACTTTGATTTGAATCACTGATCTGATAGATTTATTTTTTTCTTGGGCTTTTAACTTGAACGAAAGCTATCATGGATGAAAATTTTGAATAAATTCAGACTGCTTTCTTCTTTTTGAAAATTTTCAGTCTCAAAAAAAGCTGATGCGAATTTTTCTTTGGCTTTTTGAAGTTAAACTCAACAAAGGTTATCAAGACTTCGAAATTCGAATTGAATTAAGGGCTATTACGGTTTTTTTTAGCTTGAACCTCACCAAAAAAACGATTTCGATTTTGAATTGAGTCGTGACAGATTCCATCTATTGGTTTGATTTCTCAACTTCAACGTCAAAAAAGGCTATCATGACTTTGAATTCAAAAACTGATCATGCATAATTTGGGCAAGGTAAGATATGGTATACTTGCAGGTGATCAAATTGCAAAATAATTACTCACGGGTTATATTTCGAAACCACAATTAGACATTGAGGCTTCGCATTACCTGCGATACCACAAAAATAGCACTAAATGCTAACAGACAGGAAAGGAAAAGAATCAACTAAGTCCAAATAAAACGGAAAAATTTTCAAAGAAACCACAACTAAAATTTTTTCAAAATGTTGCCTGGGATGAAGCTCTATTTGCGGAAAACACGTCCCAGAAACGCATTCGACGGCGTTTAAGGAAATTTCAAAAACAATTTTTGAGTGAAGAAAGTTGTTGTCATGAAAAAGTTTGAGCTATAGATTCTATTGAGATTTTTAACGTCTTCTGAGATCCGGCGGACAGAATACAAAAAATTGAAACGTTTTCAAAAAAGGTCCTGGTCAGATTCAAACCCAGGACCTTCGCCGTCCCAAGCGTATTCGTTACCTCAAGAATAAGTGTAAAGGAGACGCTTGGAAATTTGAATTCATTATGAACCAACATACCAAGTGATTCAAGTGATCTCGTTAAAATTGTTAACCCAAAAAAGCCTATATTCCGACTTGATAACGCTTGCTAATCGCAAGCGAAAACATTGTTGGACAAAAACTAATACACTGTATATAAAAATAAAGCCACAGTATACAAAAAAAAATCTCTCAGTAAACAAAAACCCTAGACATGATTCATAGTCTCTTCGTCTTCTTGTCATTATCCTTTCTACTTTTGCCACAAAAAAATCATTTCATCCTGATCCCAAAAAAGAAGTATGTGAGTGCAATAACGTGCTGCTGGTATAAAAACAAAACACATTTTATTGAATGAAAAAGAACCCATCAAACTCAATGTTTACTCGAAACAATCTTTCAAGACATTTTGTTCTTGACCTGTGGATAGATACACCGACCCGCATTGAATGTTATTGAATAAGGCAGATTTAACAGATGCTAAGAAATAATAACATCGAAACAATTTTGCTCAAAACTGTGCAATGAAACGAGCAGGTTACACTGAAAAACGAAAGTGTGATATTTCACGAGCTTCGCTTGTGTAAAAATTGAATAGGTACTGGAAGACATTTTCTTGTTACCTGAGTCATCGCACGTAGCCAACAGTTGGTCCTTTTCGTTCATCAGGATCATGTTGACATCATCATCTGAGTAGCATGTCTCGTACACTGGCTGCTCATAGTTCCTCAGGTCGAACTTCAGAAGCATACAGTCACTCGACACCCAGAAGTAATGAGGCTCAGCCCTGAATCAGTAAACAGAAACAGTAAACATGTATCAATCTTTCAGACCATAGTTTTTATCCGAATAACAGAAAAAATACTAAAACGACTTTCAATTATAAAAAATTACTATAATTAGTAGAAAAAGCCCATGCTAGGAAAAATAATAGATTAAACGATAGTCCAACAACTACATTTTTCAAAAAACTTTAAGTTTGCAAAACACAGCTCCTAGTCCGAATCAAATCACTGAAACTTGTCAGCCCAAGTTATGTGCTTTAATTCTACGCCAAATGAGCAATATTAGTAAAATGAGTAGTTTTTAACTTCTTAAGGTATATAACTAAACTGGTGATTTTTTTAACAAAGTTTTCAACGTGGAACAAAAACTAGAACCCGATTGCAACACCCTTGCTAATCCTAAGGATGATCCCCCGCCGTCAAAACCCTCTTGCACACGCCACTCCTATTAGGATATTGAATTTTTCAATCAGTTGTTAATAATTGAACGCAAATTATAATCGTTGTTTTTTATGAAACTCAGTTAACTACTAACACATAGAAAGACACTGCAGTTACTTCGTCTGGAAACCCTGACAATTGGTGCACGAGAGAGCGGTTCTTCGCATCCCAGATACAGACATCACAGGACTCTGCACCCGAAACCAACACACCTTCACAAAATCAGCAGGGCCAATCAGGTTCAAGAACTATTTGGCTTAGATTAAAATTAGTTAATCACCTAGGCTGGTTTAAATAATTACCTAGTGCCCTTATCAAATATTATTTCAGTAATACTCAACCTATCATTCAATATGGTTGCTTGTGCACTAGCTACTCAAACTTAATTCCGATTTAATGATGCAAAGAAAATAGTCCGACTGATTTATTACAAACTAACATTCAAAAGCACTAAGAACTTTTTCTCTTCAAACAAATAAGTGGCAGTGAATAAGCTGTTCGTTCATGATTTCAACAATTTTATTTTTCTTGCAAAAGCCAAGGGCTAATTAACGAGAATATCAGCATGGGTTAATAATAATAAATACTTCATGGAAAGGTAAATTAAAGGGAAATCTAATAACATATAGAAGATACATGTTGAAAATCTAATGAGGCAAACCGTAACTTGCCTGAAAAAAATTGAAAATGAGCAAGGATGCAATCAGATGCTTCGCGCATCAAACAAAGACACTTTTACTCTTAAAAACCTTGATTTAGTGCGTGCTATATTTTCCTCTTGAGGTGGTCAAAATGCTTTGATTTCAATAATGACCAAAACAGATCACTTTTTGTATTTACGTATATCTTGATAAGTATATAAAGTATTTCTATAACTTAAAAACTTTGAACGGTGTGTTTTTTGAATGCGACCATACAAACAAAAAGCTTTGCGATTCTTCTCTCAAATCATTCGACGCTGAACAGTACTAGTTTCCGAGATAATGCAATTTTTCAAACACTTAAAGTTCAAACAAAGAACACAAACTCTTGAAAACCTCGATTTAGTGCATACTATATTTTCTTCTTGAGGTGGCCAAAATACTTTCGTTTCACTAATGAATGAAATAGATTAATTTTTGTATTTCTGTATATCTTGATAGTAAATAAAGTATTACTAGCGTGTAACGCACCTCCGGTGCTTCGAATTTTCAAAAACTCAAAAAAATATTCTTTGACTGTACTCTGACAGCACCCAATTACAGGGTTCGTAATTACAAATTTTGCAAAGTTTTTTATTCAAGTTTTATATACAAATTTTGAAGAACCACAAAATTTAGTGAACTTTTATATAAGTTCTTTGAAAAATTTAAAATGAACTAAGAAACGTCACATCTGTGAAACTGAAAGCAATTGAGCAGTTGCATTTGGACGCAAGATTTGCAACTCCTCAGAGTACTCTTACAGTACCCAACTACAATGTTGGGAAATTCAAATTATGAGAAATTTCACCTTAACTTTTCTAAAAAAAAAAAGTATTCACATCTCAGAAACTACAAAAATTTGAGCAGTCGTTTTTGATGGCAATATTCGCAATCTTTGAAAGTACGCAACTACAGGGTTGGAACTTTCACTTTAACGAAATATCTTGTAATTTGAGTTTTCTGAAAAATTTTGAAAAAACCTATAAAACGTCGTATCTCGAAAACTAGAAGAACAGCCATTTTCAGAGGCAAGATTCCCAACACCCTGAGAGTACCATCACAGATTCGAATAACAGGATTGAGATCTTCTAACTTTTGGAATTTTTTGACATTTAAGTTTTTTTGAAAATTTCGGAGAAAATCAAAAAACGTCATATCTCGAAAACTAGAAGAATTTGAGCAGTCATATTTGGCGGCGAAATTCGCAACTCCTGAGAGTACCCTAACAGAGTCTCACTACAGAGATGGTAAGTTCAAGTTCTAAAATTTTGAAATTTTTATATCTAAGTTTTCTGAAAAATTTTGAAAAAATCCAAAAAAAACGTCAAATCTCGAAAACTACAAGGACTTGAGCAGCCATAATCAGAGACAAGATTTCATCCTTGAGAGTACGCTCACAATATCCAACAACAGGATTGAGATCTTCAACATTTTTGAAATTTTTAAAATCTAAGTTTTTGAAAATTTTTTGAAAAAATCATAAAAAACGTCAGATCTCGAAAACTACAAGGATTTGGGAAGTGAGAATTGGAGGCAAAATTCGCAACCCCTGAGAGTAGCCTGACAGCACTCAACTACAGGGTGAGATTTTCAAAAATTGAGAAATTTTTCTATATTAAATTGCCTAGAAGTTTTTGAAAAATCTCGAAAATTGCCTATCTCATAAGGATTTAGTTTATCATATATGGAGGCCAGAATAGCAAAACCTGGGAAAATTGAAAAATACCTTAACCATTGCAATATACGATATAGCTTAAACGTAAAAAAAATCTTTTGTTAAACATCCAAAAATAATACGTTGAAAAAGCTAAAACATGGCAAGATAGTGAAGACCGCATTTGAATATATAATAGATTATAATTTTAAAACTTTGAAGGTTCTGTTTTTTGAATGCTACCATATCAAAAAAAAAACACTTGCGACTCTTCCCTCAAATCATGCGATTCTGAAACGTTCTAGTTACCGAGATAATGTGATGTTGTAGTTAAACACTTTCCGAATAAGCCATGAAAATATGCGTTCTGAAACCATGTAGCTTAAAAAAGATCATTAAAAAAATTCCAAATTTTTTTTTCAGAATAGGCAATGAAAATATGCGCTCTGAAACCTTGTAGCTTAAAAAAGATCGTAAAAAAGAAAAATCGCTTTTATACTTAGTCAACTTTTTGTCCTTATTCTCATCAAATCGCAGAGACTATCATGTTAAAGCAAGTTACTTGGCACGCTGCTTTCAATGTTCAGATTTGAAAACTTGACTTAAGAGTTTTGTTATTGTTTTTGATAGCATAATTGCTACAGCATATTTTTTGTTTATTAAACTTGTTTATTTTGTGATAAACTTATTAAACAGCAGTAGCTGCTGTTTAAAAGTCGATTCCAGAAGTGACTGTACGGCCAATCGGATAACTTATTTGGATAGCCCTTAACAAAAGAATTTTGAGGATCCGATTAATGGTGAACACCACAGTCTGTACAACTTCATTTATTCAATTACGTGAAAATCGCTGTTTCATTTAATTGTTTTTACACTTTATCGTAATTGATTTAAATCCTATTGATTCACTTTTGTGTTTTTAGTTTTCGAAGCTTTGGGATATCTTGTAATCTCGGGTTCATTGCTAGTGGTGGTGAGATCCTCAAGTCTTTAGTTTTCTCTTTTTATCAAACAATTTTAACAATTGATGTCAGTAATCTGAATATGCCAGCACAACCAAAAACTCGTAATAACCAACACAGAAAATCAAATCGCTGAAAATTTTCTACCATGCTTTACTGAGAATTGTTCTGTGAAAACTAAAGTTTTCTTACCAAGTGATTTTTATTTCACGAAAGCCTTGTCAACGCACTAAATGACACAAAAAGAAAAGAAAAAGAAGCAAGTACTTAAGCGAGGGAAGTAACAAATGAACAAAAGTCGCAGCAAACCAAAAAAACGCAACGTGATTTTGAAAGGAACTCGACCTCGCTGTGCTAAAAATAACCAGATTATTGTGAAAATTTTTTTAAATGAGCCTCAAATCATAGTTAAAAGCGACGAAAATGAACTGAAAATAGTTGTAAACGTTCACGAAGACTCAGAGGGTCAACTTCTACTTTTGAAAACTAAGACAAAAGAGTTAGTACGAAAAAAAAACTGATGCAAAAAGCACTAAACCTCCGTAATTCTGCAAACTATGGAGTGTATTTAATCCTTGGTCTCACACCAACCGAACAAGCTTAACAACTTTTATTACGATTTATAAAGCGAAAAAATGAAACTGAAAACCCAGGAAAAAATACAGAATCAAGGGAGACACAATGATTGGGATAACTTCTTGACTACAAATGCTACTCATGGGAGATTTCATCATGATTTCAATTTGCTGTTTGACATCAGTCGTCTTTCTGACGAGCAAAATGTTTTAGACTTTTAACTGAATAAACCTCATTTTACTTAAATTTTTGCAATGCGACTCAGAAAAAAGGAAACGAATAAATTATCCGTTTAACAATTCCTCGTTGACTGTTCATCGTTTAAATATGCTTGATAGTGCTCGAAGTCGCGCCACAAACTTAAATCGAATCGATAGACTAGAAATTGAAACGATGCGTCTTATTGAACTTGATCGAGCAGTTCTTCTTTCCCGTTCTCGCAAATTCACAACGAATGAAGCTTTTTCGTTACTTATATCTTTAAATGCTAGAAAGTCTCTTCCTTCAGTGATATTTCTAAACTCAGTCAAAGCTGTAACAGTCAATGACAGCGGAGCTCTTCAATGAACCCTGCAGCTCGGTCTACGATGAAAAATACCATAATCGGGCTCATAGATTGTTACATAATCCGACAGTCATATTAAATGATGTTTTACTTCAGCTGATATTAACTAACACTTGAGTACGTTATCGCTAAGTTCCAAAAAAGTCTGTGAATCATTCATAACCTTCAATTGCATTTTGAAGTTAAATCTCTGATTAAAAACTACTGTCCCATTTTTTTTTGTGCCAAGACTAACTCTCCTTCTTGAAAAAAAAAAATTCTTTAACTTTATTTTTTCAAAGATTAACACAGGGTCAACTCACGTCAACATGGCTTCCACAAAGGTCAATCGACCGTCACTCAGTTATTATTTTTTCTCGAAAAAAAACAAATTGTAGATCGCGGCGAAGAGACCAAGGAGTGAATCTCAATTTTAGCAAAGCCTTTGAATCGGTAGAGCATTCCACTCTTATTGATAAACTATTAAAATTAGAGTTTGACAAGGATTTTATTGACATTTACCATATTTAGTAAATCGCTACCAACAAAGAAAAATCGATGGAACTTTTGTAGTTTTTTACTAGTGGTTAGTGGTGTACCCCAAGGAAACGTATTGAATCGTTATTATTCTTAATTTTCATCGATGAACTGCTTGACCTACCCTCCTTATCGAGCTGTTACTGTTATGCAGACAGTACAAAACTAGTAGCTAAAGGTCAATCCCCCCAACAGCAAGATGATTTAGATGCTCTGAAGTTGTGGTCCTTTTACAGTCAGGTTTCTTTCAGTTCCATCAAATAGATTTATTTTAATAGCAATAGCTCACACGATCTGAACTTATTTCTTGGTAACGCTGAAATTGAAAAGCAAATCTCTGCAGCTGATATTGGAATCCAAATACATTGGGTTCAATGAAATTCAATTTATTTACAACGTGGGTCATATCAATAGTTCTGCACGGTTACCCCGCCTGGTTTCCAACGCTTTTTTATATGCGAAAAGTTTCAATCAAATTGAAAAAGATTGCACCCGGTCTTCAAAATGCAGATGTCGTCCTTGTATTGCTTGATTAAAGTTCTAAAACCAACTTAACTGTTAATGTCCTTAAATGATTATTTTCACAATCGCTGAATAAGGTCGTACGAATGAATCATTAATCTGAGAATTGGCAGGGTAGTTATCGAGAAAAGTCAAAAACTTTCGAAAAACGGTCAAAATTCTTTTGCGAGAGAAATTATTTTTTTTCTGAAGGGGTACTCGCTCTTTCTGAAGGTGAAACCTTAAGGGGTGTTTGCTTATGCAAGCGAACTTTACACAACTTATTTTTTATTGAAACCAAAATCTAAAGTTTGGCATGGTAGTTTTAAAAAAACTCAAAACATTTCGAAAAACGGTCAAAAAAAGAAAAACTTCCAGAAATTTTGCACGGGAGTTTTCCAAACTACTTTTTTTCGATTGAACCCAACATCTCGGATTTACCAAAGTATTTTTCGAGACAAGTCAAAATTTCAAAAAACAGCCAAAAATCAAATTTATATTTCTGAGCGCCATAACTTTTAGAAAATTTTTCGTTGGGTGCAGCCGCCTATGCATGGGAGCTTCCAACCACCCGTGCTTTTGATTGAACCCAAAACCTCAGATTTGGGTGGGTATTTATCAAAAGAAAGAACATTCAAAAAGAAATTGGGTCGAAAATTCCTCCCACGCAATTTTTCGAAGGCTGTAGAAAGCCGACTTTGGCAGAAAAACTAAGGACTTAGGCATGCAGACAGGTGAATGTGCGGTGTTTTTATTGGAATGATTGTTCTTTTTTTCTCATAATATCGTATTGAGAATCTCTTTAGCAGAAGCTGAAATAACCTTTGCAAACACACGCGAAACGGCAAAAAGAAGCTCTAATTCAGCAGAACATGGCGATTATTTTTTAAATATTTCACACAGAGGCGAAGCTTTGCCTAACAAACACAAGCGAGAACACGACAAAAAGCAGCTTAAAAAGCCCAAAAAAAGTATAACTGAGCCTCGAATTAGCAAAAATTCGCCAACGTCTGAGATTCGAACCTGCAATCTTGAGATTAAGAGTCACACAACACGAACCACTCAGCCACGGAAGCTTATTAGTCAATAGAAAATTAAATACTGGCCACAAAAAAAGCAGAGAACAGATGCTATGCAATTTCCAATGCTACAGTGAAATTTCCAATTAAGTGAACCTTTTCCATGAACCCTTTTATTTGCGAGTTAGGTCAGAAAAAAGAAGGTTCGTAATAAAACACTAAGCTGACGCGACGCTAGTGTAATGAAGCGACCATTAGAAATTTATAACGCAATAAAATTACAATTTAACCATAGTTTATGTCTCAACAAGAGACTACCTAATTTACTACATATAATTTGTCTAACAATTTTAAGCTGTGAAAATCATTAACTTCAAGGAGTATGATTTTTGTCCAAGCTGAATTAGAAAAAAAATGTCTTTCTCAGAAGAACATTCTGTACATCAAATAAGTAGGGTTTCAAGATGTCTAAAAAGCCTTACTTATGATCTAAAAGGTTGACCTAGAACGCTCGTATTTTTTTTTCATCAACATAATTTTTATAGAAACCGCAACTTCAAACACCATGCGACAGTAAAAAACCAACCAACTAACTGGTCGTCTTTGATTGCTACGCTAGTTTGGAGCTCTGTTATATTCGGTGTCCTAACCACTAGACCATGTATGTCGCCTTAACCAACGGTAGTTCAGCAGCCACCTTACCTTCCGTGTTGCAGTCGAGTGATAGAATTGAGGATTGATGATATGAAGGCCAAATCACTCCTTGTCCCGCCTGGGAAGTCATGAAACCTGAATTCCTAGACAGCACCGGCAAGGACAGGCAACAACAGCGTCAATAAGATCAATATCTATAAACTCGATAATATTGTCAGATACAGATGCATCATTCTGATCACATATTTTCACATTGATCTTCAATATGAGGGGATTAACTTCGCCACAAAATTTTAACGATTATCAACGGTTGAGTGTTCATGCTGATCTAAAATAATTCAAAATTACTTTCTTCGCTTTTTTCTAACTGCCAAGTTCTGTTTGGATTAGAGAGCAGAAAAAGTAATCTCGCAGGGAGTAAAAACGACATTCAGATCGCCCAACACATCGCTATAATTGTACTGATTTTGATATCCAAAAGTAACGTTTTTAACTTATTTTTCTGACGAAACCCTTCCCACAAAAAACTTAAAACTTACGTCCTGTAAGTACTAAATTTAACATTCAGAGTGCAAGTCTATATTTCATAACGTCAGGCAAAAATGAGAAAATCTTTTTCAAATAATTTGTCTAACTTTAACCGAGCTTATTGAACCGAGTTTGCCCAATGAAAATTCTATATTTAGTTTTTAATAAAAAAATTCATTACCAGCTCAATATCAATGTGGGATATTGCTTAGAGGAGAACAGATTGGTTGTCATCTTTCGAGTATTTAATTCGCGAGGGTGTTGACTATATTCTGGTCAAAAAGCACTGGTTCTTATACTGTTTGCCCCCACGTCCATTTTTGCGAACAAATATGAGTTTTCCAGTGTAATCATTGATTTTACGAAGTTCTATATCCAGAAAAAATGTGTTTGTAATTGCGTAATGCAGACACATGCCAATTTTCATGACAATTATACTACGTTGGCAAATGCTAGAAACACAACACAGACAATATAAAACATCATAAAAAACCCTCACTTTGACAGCACCTGAGAATTAGGAGTTTAGTTGAGCCACGCATGAGGATACTTATTATACATGCAATGCACCCTTTTTCAAACCCTCAAATTACACTAGTTTCCTTTAATAGCAGATGGGTACTTCTAAAGGGCTCTAACCAGGCAATTGTTCAAATCTAAAGCGAAAAAAATAGCTGTTGTTTAATCAAATTGGCTTTCCGAGCTCTGAAAAAATTCCTGGAAAATAATCGATTTTTTAGTGCAGCGGAGTACTATTCCCTGCGATCAATCCATGCAATGGAACATTACTCATTTAGTATTTTGCTCAAAAAAGAAAAGCTGTTTTTACAAGCGCACAGGCTATTATTGGCAACAGATTCGTTTTCTACAGTACTTTGCAACCACTGAAGTGACGTTTCTTGGCACATCGTCTCTCAACTATTTTCAATCTCCGACAACAGTTTCTGGACGGAATCATTCCAAACTGATGATGCATAAAACAATAAAGGCAAGAAGCAGGATTTGTTTAGGATACTCGGACTTAAAAATTAACGGATTCGGGCGATGACCATCTGAGAAAAAATTGGGGTTGCTTTATTCTTCAACCTTTCCAATGATATGTTATTTCCAAGAGGGGATGGTACAAAATGAACACCTAAATCATTCCAATTCATACCAACGTTTACTCCGCAATTGCGAGAAAAGCCCTCAAATGGTTAATCATGAACAAAAATTTGATTTGCTCGATTTTTGTTTCAGAATAATCAGCTCTGTTTTCTTTAGCTCAGTTAACTGCTCTATTAATTTTTTTTGTGGAAGAATACTTTGATTTCCTACAAGTTCTGTATTATCTACATACAGAAAACAATACCTTGAGGTCCGGGTTTGATTCCCACTGGGACATTTTTACTGAACAAAAACCTGCCAGTAAACCTGACACCTATTGTAAAATATGTGACAGTGTTCATTTTTCCTCTATTCTTTTTCGAAAATGATTATCAAGGACGACACCTGCTTTACCTTCATAGCACCTGGCTCTTCTTGATGCTACCACCACTTCACGATGTGGGAGGTATTTATGGAGTAAGGTGTTTTTTTTTCGGCCAATTTCAGGTAACCCAGGGAAAGCTTTTAGAGGGTCAACTGTGGTATCATATAAGAGCCCTATCGTGATTTGTTTTCGAAATATCTCTTCTTGCCATCGATTTAGTAATCATATCTATGGATAATTGGGACAAACGGATAATTGCGACAAAGAACCATTGAAAACAATGAAGGTAAAAGGAAGGAGTACAAGTAAGATACATGGGTAAATACCAAGTTAGACAGACGGTTCTCACATGACACTAATACTTAGAAGAATCGCAGTAAAGTAAATCAATACACGCCGGTCAACACGGTCTCAAACGTTCAATGAAAGCCCAGAGAATGCGAAAGTCTTGAAATAAAATCAGTTTATACAAAGCAATTCATCACAAAAAAATAACAGTCATTGCGTTGATGCTGGAGACAACTTTGGACCAACACTTTGCAACTCGGCAAATATCAGAAAAGCTCTGAAACGCAAATTGTGATGCGCAATGCCAGACTGGTTAAGTCGTTAAAATTCGTTTTCTATATTTGCGGGTGGGGTTTGGGATAGGTTACTCGCGCCTTAACTTCTTTTTGAAGCTTAAATGTTCGTATTGAAACAAGTTGGCCTTAAAAATGATGAAAATCCTTGTTCGGAAGGCCAAAAAAATGGCATTCCGACTACATTTATAATTTTGAAGCAAAAGTTGAAATCTAACAGCCTCACCCAGACAGGATAGATGAGTTAACCGAGAAGAATGTTCACTCTGCTCTAGGTATTACAATTTTGCTAAAAGTTGATATCAATTGAGCACAAATTAAAATTATTTTCAGTTCACGTCCTCTTGAAGTTGAAGTTAACCAAAAACTCGCTTGTCCAGTTATCATCATTCTCGAACCAGCTACCTCTATACGTGCCCTTATATGTTCCCTTGACCACCAGCATCAACACTGATACAGAAATATGACATACTGATGCAGCAATATGACATAACATCACAAAAGGAATGTATTTGAACAAATCAATCCCCCCATCCCTCCCCCTATTAAATCTCCTCTTCAGCTGAAACTCTGCTAGTTCATGAAAAAAAACACGTCGCAAAACAAATGTAACAAAATAATCTATTAGCTATTTTCTACAAATCAAACTAACTATAACACCACAATTCAGTGAAATTCATGGTACTACAATATGAAGATGAACTAAAATGCCAAAGAAATTGGTTTTCTCATTGAAACATCAACAATCTCCGAAGAAACCTAAAACGATGTGAAAATAGAACAACAAAGTAAACTATTAATTTAAAACAGCTGAAATTATCATTTAAGTAAACTGCAACAATTGGAATACAAATAAATGCATGATAGTATCGCTTGCAGCATGTTAGAAAATTCAGTCGAAATAGCAACACTGAAATTAGAAAAAAATATATACCTGAATCAAGTATGTCAGATAAATTATCTGTATCGATTTAACGGCAAAAGATTGCAGAAAATGAAACAGACAAAACATAGGAGCCTGCTTGGGTCAAACTGCATCGTATTGGTCATTATGAAATTATTTAATAAAACTGTAGATCTAGAGATCCATCCCCTTGATGTTTTATAAATAGAGATTTATGTTGGAAGAGGTGAAAAGAATAAGTTTAACTGATCAAAGAAAACTTCACAAAAAACGCACTAGTCACTGTGGTACTGCGCTAGCAGTCATCTTAAGTTGTATACTAAAGTAAAAATTAATGACCGATCATATTGATGTCAAGGTCACTATAGACCGATCTTTATGTAAGCAGCTGCAAGATCAGATTGCGATTTTTAAGCTATAAGAAAGCTGCGTAAAAAAATCAGACTATAATTGAATTATTTCTGGTTTAAAATGTTTTACGTATGAGAGAGTCCCTCAGAGTGTCACATGGCGCAGCCAGCCGGATTCTCAGCGCAAAAAATGACTGTCCTTGATTGAAATATGCGTATAGTCAGCTGAAGTAACTGAGGACACAGCAAGGCAAAATAATTGCAACATAGAATGAAACGCCACGGGAACTTTTAGTATACTAACAAGTTTTTATGGGTTATATTTTGTGGCCTGGACATGGACAGAACACTTAACCATTCTGTTTCCTGGATGATATTTTAATTTTGTCTAAAGGGGAAGACTTAGCAAGAAAAGCTAGTGGGCAAACTTACAAAAAGTCTCGAAAAAAAATTAAGCGTTATAGGTTTCGAAATGCTGGCCCCAATCTGAAAAAGACGAAAAGATTGTAGATAAGTCTATTGAGATAGATATGTCTATTGAATCAATTAACAGAGCAGTAAGCTAGGAGAAAAAATTTCAGTCAAACGGAACGAAAACATTCCAGAACATTCTAGAAAGTTGAGAACGAAAGAAGTACTAGACACGTCATCCAATGGCTGCCATAGCAACCAAATCGTTCAGAACGGAAAATAGTTCAACCGTAACGGAATGGATCGACTATCACGTCCGTCAACGCAGCAAAACAACAGCCCATCAAAGCAAACAAACAGTTTCACTCATATTCAACTCAGAAATCAGCTGGTAGCAACGGAAAGGCAACGGAAACCCTCCACAGACACGAAAATTAATTAGGGGAGAAGAAAGAACATAAATAGTTCAGAAAGCGGAACGAGGCAACCGCAACACAGAGTCAAATGGGACCTGACCAACGAGGAGCAAAGAATACATGACAATCAGTCACTCAGTAATAACCCAGTAGAGATCAAACAGGGAAACTCTGGACAAATTGAGGACGTCCACACAAGGCCCAAAACAGGTGATCAAAGTAGACCTGACAACTACCAAAGAAAATAACGAGGACCCTCAAAAAATTAGTTTCATAGAACCACCACGCATTAGCCATTTGTCACGGAAGGATAGTTTCCGACTGTCAGAGCAGCTCGGTGAAGGAAGCCTTTCTAATCCATCGAGCTATTCGGCAAAAAGCTACTTGTTGAACTTATATCTGAAGTCGCGTGGATGGACACAGGGCTTGGTAAAAGTCAATTGGTGACCAATTAATTGGATGCAATTAATTGACTTCTTTGTTTTTCCAATTTTGACTATTGACAAAATCCGCCAATTAATTGAAGGTTTGCAAGCTTTGAAATTTATATGATTTTGTCTTTGAAATGTAAATCTATTATTGATTTCGTAGTAACAAGCCTTCTTAAAAAGAAAAAGTGTACAAACAAATCAGCGAACAGTGTTTATCAAGATGTACAATATTT